GAGCTCCAAACTTGCCAGAAAGTCAATGTTTATCAGAGTCACTTTAGTATTTTTATTTTCTCCATAACCTAATTCACATTTCTGGAGCTGACAGCTCTAGTCAGTGGTTTTCAGTGTCCTCATGTTGTCAGAAATGGTGTGTGCCACCAACCTAACTTCTTGTTGTTGCTAAGAGTGAGACTAGGATAGAGGTGCTTTTTTACTGAATAGCATGTCTCTGTGGTTTAAAAGCCTGGGTATTAGTGGATTTCTTGGCATTACTGTTAGGTTTCAGTGGTGTTTGGGGTCTTATTTTAGGAATTTGGGGCCATCCAGTTAAACATTTAAATCTTGTAGGAAGGAGAAATCTGTGAAAATCCATGTGCAGACACTCATACTGCATAATAACAAAAAGCAAAATACATTACAGGGTGTTGGACATGCAAATGAAATTCTCTGTGCTATTTGGATTCAAAGCCACTTAAAAGGAAAATTGGTCTGTGATGAAATGAAAACTATGCAGAATCCTTGTTGTAAATCTGAACCCTGGAAGAAGCTGGAAAAACTCATCCATCTTTCCAATGACCATTGTTTGTCTCTTGTGTATATTTACACAAGCATTGCTTTTCTATAATCACAGAAATAGCAGAAGAGGCAGGAAATATCATGCTACCCACATTTTCAGCCTGTGTGAAATTGCATTTTGTGATTTCCAGGAACCTATGTGATTTCCACAATACTGAGAAATAATTCTATAGTAAAACATGTCTTCTGAGAGAGAAAGTGATTTAGCCATTAATACACAACTTAACTGTTTAATCAGATACACACATAGATTGCCTCACATATTTATATACTAGGTGAATATATTTGTCCCAATTTTCTGTCCATGTGTTTAGAATTCTTCCATTGTATATTACACTACCTATTGCTAATGCTTCTTTATATATTCATTGTCGTTTAATATCCAAAATATCTTCACATCCATCATCTAATTTGTATCTGTCTTTTTGCTTCTCATTCTGGGAGATTTTCTTTGATGTGGCTAGGTCTTCTAACAAGAATATTTTTTATTCAGTCCCTTTGTGAATAATTTTATTTCTGCAATCATACTTTTTTTTTCATTTTGCGGGGAAATAATTAGGTTTATTTGTTTATATGGAGGTACTAGGGATTGAACCCAGGACCTTGTGCATGCTAAGCAGGCACTCTCCCACTAAGCTATACCGTCCCCTCTCCACAATCATAGTTTTAAAATATTTTTTATTTCTAGAAGCATAGTTTTAAATTCCAAAACAACTTTTGGTTCTCTGGCTTTTCTTTTTTTTTTGTAGCAGCATATTTTGGTTTTATTGATACAATGTTCTCTGGAATCTTGTTGAGGATGATTATTTTAAATTTCCTTTTCATAAGAAGCCTCTCTTTTCTCTAGAGTATTGATTCCCTTCTTTATCCTTGTTGGTTTTCTCCCAATATTTCATGACCTGTAGTGGTTTGTTTATATATAGGAATGGAACACAGAATGGAAGAAGAGAGAAAGATGAGGAAATGCTAGGTTGATTTCTCCATTGACTAGGTTAGTTACTCATCCCAGAATCTACAGTATTGTGTTTAATACCACAGTGTATGGGAGAAGGAAAGCTGTGACTCATGGGTGCAGCCTAAAGTTAGAAGTTTAATTTGACCTCTTAAATCTGTATACTTTTATTCAGCAATTCTATTTCTAGAAATTTACAAAAAGGAAATAATCAAGGTTGTGTGTACCAAGGACTAAGTAGAAGAATGTTCATCACAGTCGTAACAATACAAGAATAAAAGAATGCAATGCCAATGTCAAAACTGGTGTGCTAGATAAATAAGCTATGGTAATTCGACAACAGTAAGTAATATAGCCCCTAGAAGACACATCTTAAAGCACTATTTAAGAAAAGAAGAGAAAATATTCACAATAATCTTAATAAAAAAAGAAAATACCTAATTGTCTAAACAATATGATCCTATTTAAAAAATAAAATGGCAAGTGCATGTGTGTGTGTGTTTCCTGGCAGGAAATACACCAAAATATTAACCAAGGTTATCACTGATGTTGAGAACACTGTACTTGTTTTTGTGTTTAATTGTAATATTGTTCCCCTTATTTGTAATGCACACTTCTAAATTTTTATCATCTAGTATTAATCTATATAAAATGTAAGTGACATATAGTAAGTTATGAAGCATAATAATGAAATAAACAATGAATCCATATATGCACTAGAGCATTATCAAAGGCTTTGGAACTACCTGTGTGTATTTGTGTATTTCTCTGCATGTCATCTTTCTATCCCTAGAGGTAACCACTCTCCTGAATTTTTAGTTTATAGTTCACTTCTTAAAGTTTCCCAAAATATATCTGTTAATAGGGTAAATTTATTTTTTTTCTTGTTTTTGAGTCTTGTAAAACTGAATCATATCATACGTATTTTACCACTTTTTTCCTGCATGTGTTTCAGAGCTTCATTGTTTTCACTCCTGGATACTAGTGCACTGTGTCACTATATTCTTATTTATTTATAATATCTGTGTTCCTTGTCATTTAAGTTTAAAGTATTTTTATTATGTGAATAATGCTGTTAGAAGATGACTGTGCCTGTTTTAAGGGATGGGGCACATGCGAAAAGACTTCTCTAGATGATAACTTGTGGAATAGCTGGGGATTTAGACCTCCTATGATAGGAAGTCTTCTTTGAAGGTGGCAAAGTTTTGAATTTATTTAGGCTTTCTTTAATGTCTATCACTAATATTTAAAAGTTTTCTCCATGAAGGCCTTATATATTTTTTAGATATGTTTCTATGTATCCTGTAATTTGTGTTGATACACCAAATGGTATTTATTTTAAAATTACATTTTCTGATGCTTTATTGCAACTGTATTCAGCTTTCTATATATTAATTTTTTTCAAATACCTGACTATACTGTCTTATTAGTCCTATCGATTCTTTGGAGTTTTCTATATGCGAATTATAAAGACTTTAAATTCCCCCTCCAAACCTTAGGGCTTTCTTTTTGTTTTACTTGACTGTTGAATGGGAGTGATCTACTTATTTCTGATTTGAAAGGGAGCACTTTTAGAATTTTACCTCAAAGGTTGATGTTCAGTGTAGGATTTTTATTGAACTCCTTTGTCAGATTATGGAAATTATCTTTAGTTCCTAGTTTACTAAGAATTTTTAAGATCATAAATAATTATTGAATTTTAGCAATTATTTTCTCTAGCCACTGAGATTATTATATAATGTATTTTTCTTTTAATGTAGTAAATTACATTCAAATTTTTCTAAGCTGGTTAACAATGTTAAATTCCTTGATCATAACATGATCATGAATTAAGATTCCCAAAGTACTTTTTACCAAATTGTCTAGAATACTTCCATATATATTGCATATATGTTTATGACCTCTAATTTTTCTTCTTCATATATGCTTGTTGGGTGTGACAGACAGAATAATGCCCCTCCAAAATATGTCCATGTCCTAACATCAAGAACCTGTGAACATTCTATGTTATTTGGGGAAAAGAGAGTTTGCTGATATGATTAACATTAAGGATCTTGAGAAGGAAAGATCAGCCTGGATTATCCTAGTGAACCGAAACTAATCATATGAGTTCCTAAAAGCAGAGACCATTTCTCAGCTGTGAAGAACCAGAGAGATGTAGTGTGAAAACCTGGCCCATCATTGCTGGCTTTGAAGATGGAGGATGAAAGCCATGAGCTAAGACACATCTACAAACCAGTTCTCCCCTAAGCTCAAGAAAGGAACATAGCTCTGCCCACACCCTGATCTTACTCTAGTAAGATCTATGTCAGACTTCTTACCTCTAGAACTCTAAGATAACAAATGTGTGCTGTTTTAAGCAACAAAGTTTGTGGTGATTTGTTATAGCAATAATAGCAAACTAATATATCTGCTTTTGTTATTAAGGTCGTATTTGGCTTATAAGATGAAATGGCCTTCTTTTCTATTTCCATTTTCTGGAAGAATCTGTACAAGACTGGAATGATGTATTAAAAGAAGATTTAGTAAAATGTTTCCTTTAAAATTATCTAGACATGCTACTGGCTTTGTAAAAGTTTATATGTATGAACATTCAGTTTTAAATTCTTACAAGATTTAGAGGGGAGGAAAAAGTTTCCTTTGACCCTCTTAGGGTCCTGGGCTAGGTATGAAAATTTAACTGACCAAGACAGTTTAACAGAAGAAAAGCATACAAATTTATGTAAGTTTTATATGACATGGGAGCCATCATAAAGAAATGAAGATCTAAAGAAATAGTTAGACATGTGTATGTTGGTTCTAGGTTTGGTGAAGAGTAGGCAGTTGTGTAGAAATATGATAGGACAAGGAGTATGGGGGAAGTATAGTAAACTTGGGGAAACAGCGAAGCCTGTTCACATTCTTCTTGGCATCACTTTGGCTTTAGAGATAAAGGTATTCCTAGGGAAGGCATCTTCCACGTGAAGGTTTTATGACCTGTTTCAGGAGAGAAAGTCAAGGGAAAGGTCAAAGGGACCTTTCTGCCATTGTCTCAAGCTCTTTCAGCTTAAAATATTCAGTATGCCAAGGTGCCATATTTTTGTGGTAGGTTTCCTGAAACCCACCAGATTATTCTTAATCTTATTATACAATTAATCATATTATTATTATAAGGTTATTCTTTTATTGTCTTACTTTTTTCCAAGAATTCAAATTGTTTCTCTATCTAAATTTAAAGGTTCATAGTATTCTGATATTTTTAATCTGCTGTATCTTTAGTTATGTTCTGTCTTCCATTACTAATACTATTTATTTGCCTCTATCTCCCTTTTATTTTTCTTAAACAATTCACCATTGGTTTGCCTATTCTGTACACCATTTGTTTCCATTTCTTTTCTTTTATGCATCTTTGGTCTTCCTTTTGAAATCATTCCCTTTTATGCTGAAGAACATACTTTAGAAGTTAGTTTACTGAAATTCTGCTGATGGAAAAAAAAACACTCAGTTCTTATTTGTGTAAATATGTTTTTATTTTACCCTTGTTACTGAAAGAGAGTTTGGGTGGTTGCATAATTCTAGGTTGATAATTTTATCATTTCACTGTGTTCTGGCTTCTATTGTTGCTGGGACATTTATTCTTTGTTCAGTTTTTCATTTTTGAGGATATCTGTTTATCTTGAGCTGCTGCTCTTGCGAGCTTCTCTTTGTCTCTGGAGTTCTAAAACTTCAGTGGAAGGTGCATAGTTATAGATTCATTTTTATCTATTCCATTTAGTATACCTTATGCTTCCTCTGTCTAAATTCTTATCTTCATTTCTGGAAAATTCTTTGTCACTGTGACCTTTTAAAAAACTGGCTCTGAAAGAGAAAGAAATATACCATATGAGATAGCTCTTATGTGGAATCTAAAAAAACCCAAAAAACAAAAACAAAGCATAAATACAAAACAAAAATAGATTCATAGACATAGAATACAAACTTGTGGTTGCCAAGGGGGTGGAGGGTGGGAGGGGATAGACAGGATTTCAAAATTGTAGAATAGATAAACAAGATTATACTGTATAGCACAGGGAAATATACACAAGATCTTATGGTAGCTCACAGAGGAAAAAATGAGACAATGAATATATATATGTTCATGTATGACTGAAAAATTGTGCTCTACACTGGAATTTGACACAACATTGTAAAATGATTATAAATGAATAAAAAATTTAAAAAAAGAAAATTGATTAAATAAAAAAATATAAAAAAATAAATAAATAACTGGCTCTGCTCCATAATCTATATTCTCATCTGAAACTCTGATAAAATAAGGTTTAGTTTCTCTACCTTCCCCATCTCTTAATCCCTCTTTAGTAATTTTCTTTTCTTTTGTCTTTGTGCTGCATTTCTCAGTACTTTTTTATGATGAAACGTCAGTTTACTTATTGACTCTTTCCCTGTATTTATCTGATTATCCCCTAAATTTTTAATTTAAAGATTATATATTTTCATTTTTAACAGTTGTATTTTGGTAAAAGCCACCTGCTAGTTCAAGAAACATATTACTGTCCATTTAAAAATTATTATATACATGTCTTATATCTAATCATTCCAATGTCTGCAGTCCATGAGGTTGATATCTATTGTTTGTTGATTCTGTTGACTCTCACCAATAACAGTTGGTTCTCATTTGCTATGATCTTTGATCAGAGATAGTAGTTGACTGACATAAATAAATACAAATCCTGAGGACCTGAATTTCATCCAGAGTGGATTAATGCAACAGTGAGGTCCCATTTTTACTTTACTGGCTGAGCAGAAATCCCAAGTGATAATACTCATTGCTGACACAGATTTTTCTAAAGAAGAAAAGCTTGAGTAGTTAGAGCTTGCTGTCAGAACTGAATATGTTAAATCACAAGATTTATTATGAACAAGATTATACAGTAGTAGAAAGCTTAACAAATATTCTCACCATGTTTTTGACACTACCAAATTAAGTTCAAGCCACTACCAAGGTAGTAACAGAATAAATCAGTGAAGTCTTAAAGTGAGTTAAATTATTATGAGACTAGTGGGTAACCTCAACCTCATTCAAGAAACATAGTTAAAAACAAGTGATTACAGAGTTTTATAAGAAGTGTAATGTTAACAAATATACTTATTTCATAAAAACACACATTTGGAATTACAAGTGAAAAGTCCTCAGAATCTTTTAATAACAGAAAGAAACCCTTTTGTCCTTTTGAAATAAACAGACAAAAACTCGAATTTAATGATGACAAGATACAGGCTAAATATAGATTTATATTAAATTTTATGAAAACAAGCATGCAAATATTTCCTAGTCTTTTCTTATCCATCTAATAAGATACAATTGCTATAAGAGAGCTTTGTCCTTTTGAAACAGCTGTATCAATTATCTAACCATTATATTCAAGGTCCTTTACTAAACTTTGCTATAGGCTGAATATTTGTGTCCCTCCCAATTTCATAGGTTGAAATCTAATCCCCATTGTGATGGTATTTGAAGATGAAGACTTTGGGGGGTGCTTAGGTCATAAGGGTGGAGCCCTCATGAATGGGATTCATGTAAGGACACTAACAGGAGAGCTCCTTCATCTCTGCCATCAGTGAGGACACAGTGAAAACATGGATGTCTATGAACCAGGAAGTGGATCCTCACCAGACACTGAATCTTTCACTGCCTTGATCTTCGACTTCTCAACCTCCAGAACTGTGAGAAATAAATTTCCATTATTTATAAACCACCTAGTCTATTTTTTGTTATAGCAGCCAATTTTATTAGGACTAAAAAATTCTAATTAAAATCTATGGTCTCTCTCTACATTAAGTTACTTTTCTAGGAAAGATTGAAGAATAGAGGCTTATTTATTTTTTCCACATTAGAGAGTATGTCATTCTTGGACACACCTGTTCAAAATGTTAATTTTAACAGCCTCTTGGTAGAGAAAACCTGAAAAATATGTTAAAATTAAATGTAATGGTAGTAAAGGTTCCCTGCTGTCCTGCCTGTTAATAAATGTTTACAGCAGTGAGAGGTGGTATTAAACCAAACTGCCCAAATGATGCCTTGGTTATTGCTCACGCTCTTCTGGGAGGGTGGATGAGCAAATGTTACCATGACAATGAGGCATCGATCTCTACAGTCTCAGACAGAAAGTGATGAGGCTGCAATGATGAACCAGAGTCCTCAAAGCCAAAATAAGGGGCATCAGCAATGAGGATCTTACCATTCAACACAGAGCTTTGGGCAGACCAAAATAGGAGTTCTTTTTGTTGAGCCACGAGCTAGAATCTACTCAAAACCTGTTCAAATTGAATACAATGCCTTGTTTACTGGCAAGGAGCCTCTCTCTCAACTGATGCCCTCTGATTAATCTCTTCAATTCTATCCTGATCTCAGCTGCTTTACAGAGAGGTCTCCTTGTCCCCCAGGGAGACCAAAGGTCATACACTCTGGTTTTATTATGCTGGGGAACTCTGCTGGATGCAACTGCCCAAATTGTCATCTTACCTACTCCGGTGGCAGGGGATAGTGGGCACCCAGAATCAGCCAGTGGATTTTGGGCAAGGTTCACAGTGGGAAAGGGACGCTAATACGATCTTGGAGGCTGAGGGGTTTGGGCCAATTTAATGTACTATTGCTGCTTTTCCATCTGAATGTACTTCCTCATCCCATGAAAGCCGAGAGGTTTCTCCCAATCCCAGAAAGGCCGCATGTAGAGAAGTGCTAATAGAACTCACAACCCTAATGATGCCTTCGAGCTCAAGTTTGGCTGACAAGTTTCAGTCAACTAGGGTCCCTGGATAAGGGAGGTAGCCTCCACCCTGAGGGACCCTTTGGGATTTCAGACTCATTGCCTCTCTGGCATGGCTACCAGGTAAGTTTTTTTTTGTTTTTTTGTTTTTTGTTTTTTGTTTTTTTTGAAACCAGTTAATAGCTTGCTACTAGGCTCTCAGCGAAGCTAAATACCTGATCCACAGAAACCTTTATGACTCTATGGCTTGATGTTACCATTTTTGGGGTGGGTCAACCAGGACTCAATGACTAATGGGATGGGAAAGGCCTGATAAACCTCACTTGTCAGGTGAAATGGTATATTCAAGAGCACAGTCAGCCTGGCCCTGGCAACATCTCAGCTTGACATGAAAATTGGCAGCTGCTCACAGAGGGAAATTTCATCTCACTGTGCTTCCTGATGTGACACCTTTGGTTCCATGGGGCCCTCAGCTCCCAGAGGTACTCCTAAACACCTGTCCTGGTTCACTGATGGTAAGCATCTTTGTATACTATGTTTTGACCTAAGTAATTCAACTTCTAGTAACTTGGAGTACAAGCAGATTGATATGTGTGCCCGCAACCATGTCTTCATGGATGTTTATTACAACATTGTTTTTGATAGCAAATGACAAAGAACTTCTAAAATCCTCTCATTTTAGGACTGGACAGAGAGATTAGTTGTTCTAGACAAATCATATTAAGTTAACTCAAAATACGACAAATTAAAATAATGTTAACAATGTTGTTGTTTTTATGGACAGTGTTTCTCAGTGTTACATAAAGTGTGAATAAAAACATGTGCCATTACCTTTTCCATTTACTGACCAGCCCCATCAGCCTCACAGATAATGGTAGGCTTGCTTAGTAAAGCCAGCTTTAAAGCAAGACTCTTAGTCTCCCTCTTCAAACCCCCAACCCTCTGGCCCCACAGCACAGGAATAATCCCACTATGTTCCCCCATACAGATTCTGGTTTCAACATTTATCATTATGTGAAAAAACTAGGAGCTAAAAACTGAAAATATATCATTTTCATGTACAAGTTGCATATATTAAGATGTCTGCATGGACACCTCTGAAAGAAAACACAAGACACTGGCAATAGGATTGCCTTTGAGAAAAGAACAAGGAGCCCTGAAAGTCTTTGGTGAAAATAAGGCTTAACTTTCACTGCCATAAATAATCACACTTAGTTTAAGAAGTATTATCTCTAGGTGATGAAAAATCCAAACGACCATTTATTTACCGCCTACTACTCGTTTCATATTATTTCTACCATGAATGTGAATGTATTCCAAAGGAAAAAGAAACTGAATATTTTGAAAGCATTATCCAACAAAAATAAAGGAGAAAAAAGACTATATCCATATTTTGGTAACCGAGAGAGCACAAAAATTGTTGCACTCTCTGTTGCTGATTAGAAAAATACAATCCTGAATAGAAACCTGGTTGCTGACATTGGAACAGGGAAGAGGTAAAAATGCCATGCAACTAGAGAGGCAAATGACTGGCAGAGAAAATAATTCTGGTTGCAAAATTCTCTATAAGAAGATTTCTCAGAATATATAATCAAATGGAAATTCAAAGACCAACTCAACAATATCTTGCTTTTATTATTTATTTTGATGTCTTCTATGATACAAGGATATGACCGATCAAAGAAACAAATAGTATTGTGGCAAGAAATTCTCAGTTCCATTCATTAGGTTTCAATAGCTGGGTTTCTCCCAGAAGCCTATCTGGACTAGCCTCAGTCATTACCATACCATACAGACAGACAGATCTCTCTGGGGCTTTTGGCGGGGATTCTTTTATTCCCACAGCACTTTGAAGGATTTGAGATGGAGAACGCTGTGCCGTTCCCTTTGCACGTCTTCCAGACAGTGGAGAATGCATTTGGGAGCAGCAGATTGAAGTTCATCTTCTGGGGGCCTGTGAAAATATCTTTAGCCTTTGTAGATGGGTGAACTAAGAGAAAAAAAAAATTCTTCAATTATTGGATTGGTATTATCTAGCACCAGGACTCTTCTCATGTTCATAGTAACCCACACAAATCAGTTTATAAAACTCCAAGAATGTATGGTAGATCCTTCATCTTTTAAGAAAATTGTACCTCTTAAAACAATTAATTTATTTCAACCTTGGGTCGTTGCTAATGGCAACAGAAAGAATGCACTGGAGTGTCATAATAATCCTCCATTAAATCCCTAGTGTTTAAATTTTAATGCTATAATTCAACAGCTGACAAAAGCCCATTGAGTGCATCTATGGGGAGGAAAACAGGCTGGCTCGTTTTCTCAGGGGTGATACTATAGCAACATGAAATGAATTTGGGGTCAGGGAACAAGCAGTCTCCAAGCTTTGTTTGCATTTCCTGGCTAAAAGTAGAATCCAACATTATAAATTTAGTTATTTTGAGCAGCAGGAAGATAGCTCCCTTTGCACCATTGCTTATACGGAAAACAGAGGGAAAGTAATACAACCACAACTGGAAGAAAGATATGCCAACGAATATAATATGAAGTGACTCTCAAAGTGACCACTTTAGAAACCCTGAGACCCTCCTATGCTTGACGCTTTACCCTTCTCCCCTGGACAAATGATGCTTTAGAACATGGAGGAGTATTACAATTCCCAAACTGCCTCTTAAAAAGGAAGGAAACAAAGAAGTCTGGTCAATAGTCCTTGAATGTGACCCCTTCACAGTCATGCAAGAAACAGCGAGGTTGGGTGGTGTTGATTACATCTTGCTCTTTATAACGGTGCTCTTGTTTTAGAAGGGGATCTCTTTTCTCTTCCAGAATAAGCATATGCACCCAAATCATGATTGCCTATTGTGCAGTAAAAGGCAAAAACAAAGAAAAACATAAAAATACCCTACCTAATTCCCAGAATTTTGTGCTGCCAACTCTTCTTCTTCAAGGCATGTATTTTCACTTTTGGTTTTAGTATTGATCCTCAGCACATTGAGTCAGTGTCCAATAACATAAAATACTACATTTGGAGTGGTTATCCAATAAGGCTTATGCAGTTATGGACTCCATTTATAAGGCTTGCAACATACGAAAATAAAGAATTTTAGGTTTTCAAGGGCTTAGTTACAGATGAATACATGAACAGCTCAATAAAACTCAAAGCTGTTCCCATCTTTTTCATCCCCTTTTCCAGGCCTTCAGTATCTCACCTCAACAATTAAAAATCCTTGCCCCTCCCAACCTCTCATGACCTCTAGCACCCACCTCTTGCAACTCATTCTAAATATAAGGGCAAGATTAATCATCTTCTTAAAACAACAACACAATTTCTCCCCTACTCAAAAATCTTTGATAGCAATGAATCAAATTTATCTTCCTACAGTTTATCTCTGCTATTATAAGTAAGCCACACCATATAGTTTGCTGTTCCATTACTGCATCTTGCTTATACTTTTCTCCTGGTATATTTAGTTAATGGTCCTGCCTAGAATTCTCCTGTCATTACTGTGTTGATCCTTCAAGCTCAATTTAAATGTCACCTTTTCTAGAAAGCCTTTCTGATCCACTCTTTCTGGTAGAAAAATATTTCTTTTTTCTTTTTCTTTTTTCCCTAAAGCTCACATGGCTCGTTTAGAATTGTCTTTGGGAACTTATTTAATTTCTTCCAATAAATTGTTTGACTTATCCCTGAGGACAGGGGCTACATACTCAATTATTTTTCTCTCACCCATTCCACACTTGGAAAGGAATTTTTTTAAAGAAAATATTCTCTAAGCTGCATGGCTTACCTGGTTCTGTCTAACAGGTATACCAAATACAGCAGTATCAACAAAAGGAAGCTACAGAATAAAAATATTAATAAATAGTATATTATGATCAATGTTAAGTGCCTTAAATGAAAGAATGGTTTAGCATAGAGAGAGAAATAAAGGATAGGTTAGGTTATTCTCCATGAATAAATAACAATAGCTGAGTAGTTTATTATGATAAAAATTAGATTTTGCCCCTATTACCAGGGCAATGAACACTGGCAAGGAGATTCTGCTCATCATAGTCACCGAGGGTCCGGGCTGATGGGCACTGCTTCTCTCTACATGCTTATACAATCACTGAGTCGGGAAAAGGGAACCCGGTGAACTACACCACACTGACTTCGAAAATTTCTGTCCAGAACTGACATGTCTCTTCTATTCGTACTATATAAGCTGAAGGAAGTCACACGGCCAACCTGACTTCCAGAGGACAAAGAAGTACAATCCTATATGTGTTCAACAATAGAGACACTGAAATGGTTGGAAATGGCACAATGACTACTGCCCCGTATTTTCCCAAGAGTTAGAAAAAAAAAAAGCAATACATTTCAAAATTTACTTAAAAACAGCAAAATACTTAAAATTAGGAAACTCCCTAAGGTTGACTGAAGGTATCTTTCAATAACCTCAGCAAACACCTTCGTTACAGTGAAATTTTAAATATTTTTCCCTTTAAGATTAAAGATAAGAATGCTTATTATCATTGCTATTGATTAATATAAACTGCAAGATCTGGCCGTGACAATAAGACATAAGAAAATGAGATGTAAGGTTTGGAAGAGAAAAATGAAAAACTGCTATTTCACGATAATGAATTGTTGATACTGCTTATCTTTTTATGTTTATATTTTATATTTTATACCAGAATTATTAATAATTATGAGCAAATTTGTCACAAAAATTACCTTAAAAATCAAAAGCAGAACATCAGTGACCTGTGGAACAATAGCAAATGAAGTAACATTTGTATAATTGAAGTCTTAGGAAAAGAGAAAGTATGGGGCAAAAAGATTATTTGAGGAAAATACTGTTTGGAAAAAATTGTTATAAAAAAATTTCACCCATAATTATAAAAATTTAAGCAAACACCAGGCAGAAGGGGAAAAAAATCCTAGGTATATTATATTAAACTGCTGAAAGCCAATGTTAAATAGAACATAAAAAGAGCAAAAGGAAAAATACACATTAAATACAGTGGATAAAATAAGGAAGCTGGCTTCTATGAGAATTCAATGCTACAATATCATTAAATTTATTTAAAAAAAAAACCTATTGACCAAGAAATAATATTGATTAGCAGATATATACTATGAGACACACTTGAGGAGGTTCTTTTGGCTAACAGTAAATGATACCAGGTGAAAATCTAGATACTATTATTTTACAATTATACAATTGTACAATTATACAAAGAAAGAATGAAAGATTAAATACTGTGATAAATTTTATGAAATTAAACAAATTAGGTAAAAAAAAGATAAGTGTTTTTGAGAAAAACAAAAAACCAAACTCACAAAAATGATAGAAAAAAATTGAATACTCCTACAGAGTAAACAAAATTAACAATTAAAAACGTAGTCAAAAGGTACCAACTTCCAGTTTTAATATAAGTCCAGGGGATGTAAAGTACTGCGTGGTAACAGTTAACAATACTGTATTGTATATTTTAAAGTTGCTGAGTGTAGATCTTAAAAGTTCTCATCACAAGAAAAAAAACTGTAATTGCGTATGGTGACTGGTGTTAACTAGACTTACTGCAGTGATCATTGCACATATACACATATACTGAATCATTATGTGGTACAACGGAAACTAATATAATAGGTCAATCACATCTCAACTGAAAAAAAAAAACCTTCCCTCAAGAACAATGCTGGGCTCAGATGGCTTCACTGGTGAATTTAATCAAGCATTTAAAGAAGAAATTATACCAACTATACTTATCCTCCTCTGATTTGTTTTTCCCTGGGAAGTGGCATTTAAGGGAACAGTCTGAGTTTATTTGCTGAATGGAGATTTATTTGTTTATTTATTTTTAATTGAGGGACAGTCAGTTTACAATGCTGTGTCAATTTCTGGTGTACAGCACAATTCTTCAGTCATACATGAATATACATATATTCATTTTCATATTCTTTTTCACTGTGAGCTACTACAAGCTATTGAATATATTTCCCTATGATATACAGTATAAACTTGTTTGTCTGTTTTATATATACCAGTCAGTATCTGCAAATCTCGAACTCCCAGTTTATCCCTTGAATGGGGATATTCAGATTCAGGTCTGGCCGCTAAAGATTTTCACTCTAATTCCAACTGGGCTACAATATGGTTGAGGTTATCCATTTATCGTTCAGTTAGTGTTTGACATTGGCCCTTAACTTCAGCCAGCGTCTCCCCTGCTAAAGACTGATGTACAAGAAAGGAAATAAAAAAAAAAACAAAGAAACCTGTCACTGCTGTTGGACAAACAAATCAAAGTTATAATCTTCTTGAAGGTGAGTAATATCAACATTGATATAAATGAGGTCAGTGTGGTTGAAAGAAGAAAAAAGGAGTGCTGGTGAATTTGAGCCTAGATCAAGGTGAGTTTTGCATTCCATAAACACTTTAGGCCAAATATTTGGTTGATTAAAACTAATTGTCATTCCTTTCAATCTTTTTATCACAGGGTTTTTGATGCAGATTTAAAAAAAAAGAAGTAAGAATATACAGACTTTTACGTGTTTTTCTTTCTGGTTCTAACAATTGCTATTCTGGCTTCTAGTAGAAAATTTTCCAAATGTGAAAGAGAACAGGCAAAAGTGAGGAAGAGAACACATCATGTGTATCTGTGAACAGACATCTGAAAGACAAGATTTCTGGGCAGAAGGAAAGTTCTGGTAAACTTAAGCAGTAACCTTTCACCGAATTATTAATTGCGTGGACGGCAGCATATGGTACATCAGTTTCCCCCAGAAAGTTAACTCTGAGATGGAGCTTAGTGTACAGAAAGTTTTTGAGGAGTTGCTGTCAGGAGCAAAACCTGTGCGGGATGGGAAGGAAGCAGAATCAGGCCCAGGGAGAAGCTGGGCTGTAATGCAGTGCCACAAGGACTACGGCAAGCCCAAGGGGAGCCCTGAGGTTGGAATGGTCCTTTGGATGTAACCTAGGCTGGGAAAGGGAAACCAGCCTTTCATACCTGACAGCAACAGTCTTGGCTGCATCTTGCCCTCTGGATGAGCAATGATAATGGGCAATACAGCTCTCTTCATTGGAAGGCAAATGCCAGGGAGAACTGACGGCTGACAGCTAACAGATAACAGCACACTCAGCAGTTGAGGGAATCAGCCCTTCCTGCCTGGAAGGGGAATCTGGGCAGTGTTGCATAGCGTTCACTCCTGCCCACTTTTGCATTAGCTTGGATCCTCTTGCTTCCTCTAAACTCTGAAAGTCTTCCTCCAGGATTTGATAGATCTCTTTCCTAGGGTAAACTTATTACAGGAAAGTTAAGAGGAAACTATAGCCTTCACTGATGCAGGTGGGCTTGAGGCTACAATTGTGCTACGTCCTTGTTCCCTTCCTCCGCAATTTATCCTAGGTTCTCCTCTCGCACAGCCAGTACCTGTGCTGGTCTTGGTGGCTTAGCTGGTGGGGTGACCGAAAGTTGTATCCCTGATTGTCTAAATCCCTGATCATCAAGCCCTCCTCAGGCTGCTGTTCTTGTCTATTTGCCATCACAACTGAGCAAAGAAGCATTAAGAGAGGAACCAGTGCCAAACATATTCCTTCGCATCCCCAATGTGCCATAACAGCTTACCACCTGATGATAAGATCAGCTGCTCCTGTCAGTACGGTGTTCCTCTCCTTGCCCGCTGGCCCCTTGGCAAGAGAAGGATGAGGTTCACAGGCATAAATCATAGCTTATATCTCCCTGGAGGATGTTTCCCATATCAGGAGCCAAGAGCAATAAACAGAAGGCAGAATTCAGAAAAAGGAAGCAGAAATTACCTACCCTTGGTTGCTGGCACTGCGTATTATACCTATCTAATGGCATGATATAATGGTTGTTCATTTGAGTATATATTGCATCCTGGAAGATGACTCCCTATACTTACATGGTATCTTTTTTTTAGTCAGTTTACAATGTTATGTCAATTTCTGATGTACAGCACAATGCTTCAGTCATACATGAACATACATATATTTGTTTTCATATTTTTGTTACCATAGGTTATTATAAGACATTGAATATAATGCTATACAGTATGAACTTGTTGTTTATCTATTTTATACAGAGCAGTTAGTATCTGCAAATATCCCAACTTATCCCTTCCCACCCCCTTTCCCCATGTATCCATAAGTTTGTTTTCTATGTCCGTGAGTCTTTTTCTGTTTTGTAAATAAGTTCATTTATCTGTTGTTTTTTCTTTTTTAGATTTCACATATAAGTGATATTATATGGTATTTTTCTTACTCTTTCTGGCTTACTTCACTTAGAATGGCATTCTCCAGGGCCATCCATGTTGCTGAAAATGGCATTATTTAAACAATCCCCTTTAAAATAGCACCCAAAGTAATAAAATACCTAGGAATAAATCTAACCAAGGAGATGAAAGAATTATACACAGAAAACTATAAACCATTGATGAAGGAAATTAAAGAAGACTTTAAAAAATGGAAAGATATCCCATGCTCCTGGATTGGAAGAATCAATATTGTTAAAATGGTCTTACAGCCCAAGGCAATCTACAGATTTAATGCAATCCTTATCAAATTACCCAGGACATATTTCACAGAACTAGAACAAATCATGATAAAATTTATATGGAACCATCAAAGACCTAGAATTCCCAAAGCATTACTGAAGAAAAAGAAAGAGGCTGGAGGAATAACTCTCCCAGACCTCAGACAATACTATAGAGCTACAGTCATCAAGACAGCATGGTATTATTCTTTTTTTTACAGCTGAGTGGTATTCCATTGTAGAATTATCCAGTCATCTGTGAATGGACATTTAGGTTGTGTTTCCATGTCTTGGCTACTGTAAATAGTGCTGCTATGAGCATTGGGGTGCATGTATCTTTTTGAATTAAAGTTCCCTCTGGATATATGCCCAGGAATGGGATTGTTGGATCATATGGTAAGCCTATTTTTAGTCTTTTGAGGACTCTCCATACTGCTTTCCATAACAGCTGCACCAAACTGCATTCCTACCGCAGTGCCGGAGGGCTCCCTTTTCTCCACAGCCTCTCCAGCACTTATTTGTGGATTTGTGAATGATGGCCATTCTGATTGGTGTGAGGTGATACCTCATTGTAGTTTTGATTTGCATCTCTCTGATAATTAGAGATATTGAGCATTTTTTTCATGTGTCTATTGGCCATTTGTATGTCTTCATTGGAGAACTGCTTCTTTGGGTCTTCTGCCCATTTTTGGATTGGGTTGTTCCTTTTTTTCTTATTAAGTTTTATGAGCGGTTTATATATTCTGGAAATTAAGCCCTTGTCAGTCTCATCTTTTGCAAATATTTTCTCCCATTCTGTAGGTTGTCTTTTTGTTTTGCTTATGGTTTCCTTTGCTGTGCAAAAGCTTATAAGTTTAATTAGGTCCCATTTGTTTATTTTTGCTTTTATTTCTGTTGCCTGGGTAGACTGCCCTAGGAGAACATTGCTATGATTTATTTCAGATAATGTTTTACCTATGTTTTCTTCTAAGAGGCTTATAGTATCTTGTCCTATGTTTAAGTCTTTAACATTTTTGAGCTTATGCCTTATCTGCACCATCTGTAAGCTATTCTATTGCTCTTCAGTGCCAGATGCTTTCGGACGCTGTGGTATGTGGCAGGACCAGTGGCTCTCATGACCCTAAGCCCAGTTTCTATAAAGTGAGTATCTTAGTCAAGGGTTTCTAAACAGTGGCATACTGACATTTTGGGGAGATAATTCTTTGTTACGGGGATTTGTCCTGGACATTAGGATGTTCAGCAGCAACCCTGGCCGCTAGCCACTAGATGTCAGTAGCATCCTCCCAGTTGTGAGAACCAAACATGTCTGCAGACATTGCCAAAAATCCCCTGGGGGCGGAAATATTGCCCCTGGTTAAGAACTGTTGCCTTACACTGATGTAATGTCATATGGGGTCCCATGTGGGTGGATTAAACTTTATGTAATCACATGGATATGATGCTGCCTGAGGTTCTTCAGACAGGAAAGGCAAATCCATACCAAAGATATGTATAGATGCAAAAACTGTTAATTTGAAACAACTTGCTGCTTTTTCCAGGATGGAAGGAGTCCAACATATTCAACTTGCCACTAGGTGGCTGGTTGGCCTTCTGAAGGGATGGTGCTGTATGTGGGGGTTAGCACTGGTCTCTCTTGCCAGCCTTAGTACACGGGAGCTCATGTAGTTAGGCCTACACATAGCATCCATCCTTGACACCATCATTACTGTTCACTATGCCTAGTGTTCAAACACTGGGGTCTCTGATGACACAGAGATGGCTGACACAGACTGGCTGACATTTTGCCCTGTGATTTCATGGTTTTTTAATGCTAGTTCCAGGGAAGATGCCCTCCGGTAACATGCAATGCAAAGATCTTCACACTTTGTGCCCGCTCCCATTAGTCCATCCACACACCACGACTGCAGACCTTCTTGCCCCTGACCTCCCCATCTTTCTCCTCCCAAGCTCTTGGCTACCCATGAATTTTCATAGATTTTAATCTTGGGCCATTCTTTTTCCACCGAAAGAAGATGATCAATTGTGCCACCTGGAGCTCTGTCATCAGGAAGATTTCCCCCTGCTCACCACTGTCTTTCAAGGCCACCATTGAGGCGGCTGTAATGGAGTCCCCGTCCATTTTTAGCTCTCACACACGTGCTGGGCTGACAGTCCATAGCTTTGCTCTTTTCATCCTTTGTCAGCTGTTATGTGGCATTCCCCATGCAGCGTAAATAAGTGTCGGTTAAGAGGTCTCACTTGGTACCACTGTGGTGGATGAAATGGAAGTGAGGGCCTCCACACTGTGCTGCTCACGTGGGCCTTCTGGTGCTCCTTGTGCCTAATCCCGGATGCATCATTTTCATCTTAAGACTTAATGGGTCCGATTAAGTATGTAAATTGACCTCCTTGACTCTTATTTCTTCATGTCTAAAATGAGAGGTTGAATGAAATAAAGCATAACATCTTTTCCAATTCTAGTTGTAGGTGAAGGACTGCAAAAACCAAAAATTAGGGTTTGCCGGGGAACTGAGAGAACCAAGGGGCCACCTTGGGTTTCTCCCACCCCTAACTGTTCTTTAATTTACAGCAATTGTTTACCTGTCTTAATATTCCTGATTCAGGAGGAGACTGCTGCCATGTTACAAAGACATCACGATGGCAAAAGTACGTTGTTGCAGCCTTTGCATTACAGTCAGCTAGGATATTTCCCTGATACTCAGGATCACTTCTTTTCATGTGAGCCTCAATTTTGATGACAGACAACACTTTATGCTAGGATATGTCAGACTTTCAGGAGTTTCACACAATTTCTGAAATGTTTGTAATGCACACCTGTACAGACACACCATAAAGAAAGCTTACTGTTACTTTTTGTTTGACCCGGATTCCCACACAGTATAACAGATCAAATATGATTAGTTTAATATCTCTTTTTTATAAGGAGAGAAAACAAATCTTTGAGATATTTCAGGAGCCGTCTGTGGGGTTTCCATATCAAGGGGTCTTGGAAACTTCTCTTTACTACCCCTAGGCCATTTTACCTACTCTTGTGCAAAAGATTTTGGGTCCTCAGTGAGGGATCAAGCCAAAGGATCTTGGCCCTTTGGTCAATCTTTAATTTGATTTAACTGTTGCACTAACCAATTGCTGTTCGATTCCTCATTGTAGTGACTGCCTTCTGGCTTTCCAAATTTCTCCAAACTGGGGTAAATAGACCAGACTTGTTTGGATTCCTTTAACATTTGGGAACCAATGTGGGGGTCACTGTGACCCACCTAGCCTTTGATAGTGCTATATTGAAACCTTTGTTTTAATCCTATTACTGTCCATTTTACTCATCCCAATCTGATTTTTTTTTATTGCCTTTTGTATGTATCCATTTATCTCAGGTGATCTATTTGTAATGTTGAGAATCCTCCATGGATTTAAAATTTTTTAAATTTTTCTTCAGTACAGGACAACTGTACCTCCAGTGTCCTGATTCTTTATTTTGCAGTATCTGCAAATATCTGAAAATACATAGGAAGGAGGTCTGAGTGGACTTTAGTTTTTGTTCTAATTTCTATCCTTCCACCTTATTAAGGAATTCCCAATGACTAGCCGTTACACCATTATAAGAGCTCTCTAATTTTTTTTTAATTTAGCCAATTCAGAGGATCTGTCATCTGGCCATTGACAAGTAGGATCTATTAGACTTAACAGTGACTCAAACCAGTAAGTCTTTCTGTGGAAAGACCTGGAGGTAAACTTCCAAGCTTAGCCAAAATGTTCACTCTCAAAGACAGTCTAAGAAAATAAAGCAATGAATGTTGAGACAACAAAGGCCTCCTGTGAACTGGGACCCCTTACAACAAACTCCCCTGCAAGCTGGCATGGCCAGAAAAAGAGATGCCAGTCACGAGTCCTGTGCTTATACAAACCAGCTACCTCAGAAGCCCAGTCTATTTGACTGACTGCCAAATGCATGCAGGTATGTTCACCTTCTGAATGGCAGAGGCCAGAGAGAACATTTTCATTGGTCATAAGGTAGAATTAGGAGGGGCCCTGATTTTATACAGCTGTCCCAAAACACAGGGAGTCATGTGTCCCCTTCTTCCTTTTGAACAGAATAGAGTGACTTCACCTATTTTTTTTAAGACTCTCTAAACTTGGGTCCACAGCCTATTACGTTGCCCATCAGATGCCTATGCATCCCCCTGGCAGAG